GTGTTTTAGATTAAGGGTGACCACTAAGTACATAGTAGTAAGTAAGACCAGTAAGTAAGACGCACATCACACCCAGATTCCCAGATTCGGAGCAACAATAACAGCAAGAAATACTCCGTGTGAGAATCGAACCTGCGACATGTTGCGCAGCAGCCGCTGAGCCTACTTAGCCTAACCTACAACGATGCAATACCTAAAAAGCCATGTCAATTTTTCTAAGTTATGAAACTTTGCAAAATGAAGATTATTTTATTTAACAATTTGTACAATTAAGTACTTACATACCCATATCGAAGTCATTTTCACATTAGATAATATTAAAGGATTTTATTTAATCCGGTCGGTAGTTCTACAGATTATCACGTCCAAACTCCTGCTTATCATAGGTATATTGATATCTGTAGATTAGGTACTTCCCTCGGAGGAAGTTCTTTAGTATAACTGATAGGGAGGTATGGACATCGTAGATCGACAAAATTCGAATTAAAATTGCAGTAGGTAAGTAACTCACTTTTATAATAACGTTTTTTTTGCGAAAACGCCGTATAAAAACAAATAACATCATAGGTATAGACTCAAAAGACTAAAGAAATACAATACTTATATTTTAGACAGACGTAGATTAGATACCTAAGCACTTTTTGGCGGACCGTCGAACTTTTTCGTTAATAGGATAATTCGTTCAGCTTCCCGAATACCACTGAGCCGTGCACCGTGTGCTGTAGCAAAATATCCTGGGACTGTTGCTTCACCCGCAAACAGTAAAATGGGTGGCATCGGGTCACACGGGCCTGGCACTGGTGTTCCCAACTCACATTGGTGGCTCACCGTCGAACAACAACCCATATAAGAATATGATCCGCAGAAATGTGGATCTGTTGCCCATTTAGATCGTAACATCATTTGTGGATAAGGTAAGCAAGGATTTCCAGTAAATCTGCGCAATAATTGGGTCAATCCCTCAGCAACGTCGTTGTCCGCCATTGATTCCATCAAGGCAGCTTCTTGACCAGATATCAAAGCGCAAAGTACGTGTTTACTACCTGGTAGCTCATCAATTGCACACACTCCTCTAGTCCAATCTGTTCTGCACTGTAGTTCTTCTGCCGACCAAGCAAGTTTTAGGTTACCTTCTTGGCAAACCCAGAAAGGTTCAGAATATTCCAGGAAAATTTTATCACTAAGACCAAAACCTAAATTGCAAATCGCATCAAGCTTACAAACTGGAAGCGGTGGAGCAAACAATTTGTCGGCTTGGCATTTAAGACACCCTAGGGATACTGTGACTATTACATAGTCAGAGTTTAATTCCTCACCATCGCAACATTTGACAAGAGCACGACCATCACCTGATGAACCTTGACCCCACCGAATAACGTTAACAGGTTTATTATAACGTATGCAATTGTCTGGAAGGCCTCGTAACAATGGTGCCATTACTCCTACGTATCCCAGAGGAACTCTTACACAACCACCAGGCAGTTCAATGTAACTGCCGTACTGGTCAGCACTGACTAGAGATAGATCATCTCCGCATCTATTTCGCAGAATGTTAGTTAATCCAAACATGACGCGTGCGGCATCGTATCTTTGATCCTCAGGAAAATTGTGAAGTTCTTGTTGTATACGTAAACCTATGAAATTTAATAACGTTCCATGTTGTCTTTCTCCACCAAGTCTAAATAAATTAGCGGCTTGTTGTTCTATTTGTCTGAATGTGTGATACGCCGTGATTGTTACTGGCAAGTCTACGGCACGTCCTTCACTAGTACAAAAAAGCCCTCTTGAAGAATCTAGACGAGGTAGTGGTTGTTGCAAAAGCCTGTCTTGTGAAGCTAATGTATAAACAGAATTTGGCAGACAAGCACCAAAAATCCATTCAGCGCCCATTTCAATAACCGCATCTCCAAGCCAGCACGAGTGTATTCGACCACCGGGCCTGTAACAAACATAAGTAAGATTATTATTATTATCAAGTGTGGGAGAGCCATGCTTCGGCACGAATGGGCCGGGTCGACCGGAGTAATACCACGGCTCACAGAAAACCGACGTGAAGCAACGCTTGCGTTGTGATTCGTCGTGTGAGTGAGGTTACCGGAGGCCCAATTAATCACCCCAATCTCTGAATTCCCTTCGATTTATTATTCTTTTAGTTATCATCATCGTCATCATTATCATATCAAAAAATACATCCACTGAACATAGGCCTTCCCGGCAATCATTTAAAATGGAAACCCATTTGAGAACCTGTTTGCCCCATCGGCCATCGGTTCTCCGTGCTATATAACCCGCCCACTGTTAATTCCGTATGTCACTTGTTCGTTGGGTTCCGTAAGTTCTGACTAAATCATACAAAGAAACATCGAGCGTATCCCTTTCCATGGAACGCTGCTAAACTGTGAGGTTTTTAAAAGACCCAAAGAGAGTGAAAGAGCAACCATGTTTCCTTTCTGTGTTATGTATGTTATCACTGGTAACACACTCTGATTATAGACTTTTGACTTGTCTTGAAGCATGTTTTGGACGAGCAGATGTTGCATAGTTTCCCGAACGCTGCCCACCCAAATTGGGTTTCATATCTTACTTACTACTTAAGTAGTATAATACATATTGTATGAATTGATTCACTGTGCATTGTCGTTCAATTACCTTTCTTTAGCTTCGAGAATGAGGAAGTTTTTTATACCACACTGAGTGAGCCGATGTGCTGCCGAAAGACCTGCCATTCCAGCCCCTACTATGATGACTCGCGGCTCTTGGCAGTTCGGGTTGATGCTGCACGAGTCTAGAATACATTGTTCTTGACCTGCTGTGCTAACCGCACTGCCAAACTGTCGTTGACTGGTTGTCAACGTCCTATTTAGGGTGCGCTCTGTTATCAAGCTGAAATTTTTTATCAAATTCCAAATATTCGCTTTCCATATTAATTTAATACGCGACAATTTCATTCTGATTTTACAACTATAAATGCCATCTAAAACTTTTAAAATTACATAACACTCTCAAATTTTGAAAGCTTTTCCATTCCAGCAATGAAGTGACGTTTAAAACACCATAGAGCGAAAAGAGAATAATTTTCTTCTTTTTTATAAAGAGCATTTGTTAGATAAGCATGACAGAACAAACTATGGTTTTAGGATTGAATCCTTTAATTTCCAGCTAACTAGAGCGTAGCTGTTAGCCGTCCTAAATTGTAGTCACAAATTAAATATGTAGGTACTTAGGTAATTACCTATGTATGAACTTATCTACGTACCTATAAGGCTATCATTAAGAACCGATCATATTTAGGAAGTGCGTAGTTTCTATTCAATATAAAAACATATTGTAAACCTCTTCAAAATCATAAATATGTAGTAACTACGTCTGTCACTGTTTATTAGCATATAAACTATAATGACATATGTTCAGGTTTTTATTTGAAGAACATGACCGTCATTGCCAATTGCCATATTACTCTACCTACTTTGACTTCCGTGTAACTTCCTACAAATTAGGTAGGTAGGTAAGTATTATACTAGCTGTTGCTAGCGACTTCGTCCGAGTAGGTAGTTTTTTTTAATGGGACAATGATCTCCCACTACTGCTGCAACTCCTTTAGGCCAGGATCTACAGTAGATACAACCATGTAAACACCGGAACACTGAATTCCGACATGAATCCCGTGTAGATAGTATATGAATTTTCAGACATATATTTTTTTGTTTTAATTTAATATAATTACAGTCCTCCTTAGTCCATCAGCTACCTGCCAATAAAATCCCGTCAAAATCGGTCTAGCCATTCCAGAGATTAGCCAGTACAGACAGAGAAAAATTGAAAACTTGTTATTTTTGTGAGTGTATCGTATGTATATTATGCATGTAGTAAAAAGCGGGTAAAAAGCATTTTAATATAACAATCAGACATTCCAATTTTATTTATCTGAATAGATATACTTATATTGATATACATAGTCAACCCTAAAATGTGTTTCGTTGTTAAAACAATGCTTCGATTAATGGTACTAAATAGTTTTTCGAAACTTCTATAAGGCTCAATAAACAGGGAATCATTAGATGGACATTAATAATAATATCTAAATATTTCTTTATAATATTGTTTATTACACATTAAATATAATAACGAACAGATATAACATGTAGTTTAAATAGACACGTATACAATTTTGTTTTGATAAATATTGTTATAAAAGTTTAGGTATATGTAAAAAAATAATAAAAATAACAATACATAGGAATTGTTTCTTGTCGACTCACGAAATCATTAGTAGGAATTACCTAACTTAACTATAAAACCGGTAAGTAAACTTAAGTGCATTACCTATGCAGAAGTTTATCTAACTTCATTACCAAATGTTTATTATTGAGTTAGAATGGTGGTCGACATCGCTAATTACATCAAATGTTCTACATTATACACATTGGATTTAATAACAATAATAATTTAAATAATCAAGGTACTTAGTAAGGTCGGTAGGTACGTGTTAATACATAGGTATTGTCTCTATAGACTTCTTAATTAAATTGGTCACACTTTTCCCAAAAGATAACGCACCTACCGATATTGTCATTATTAAATTAAAATTATCACAACTCATTTATTATATCTCACAACAATCTACACGATTACAGTTTATTACAATCGGGATTCGGTAATCTAATCCTGATTTAAAAAGCATCTATATTTTAAAGGACTAAACGAATTATTTATTGTCTTAACTGCATTTAAAGGTTTTCAACTCAATAAACACGTTTACTATCACAATTTCGTTTATATATTGTGCCTAGTAGGATATAAATAGACAACCACGTTTATGGCGTAAAATACATTCAGTAGCACTAAGCCAATAATATAATTTCCTACTATAGGTACGGTATGCAAATGGATGCTACTTTATATCCATCCCTACCTACAAGCATTTTTTTTTTATTTTTATTAAGTGGCAAGAATATTTATTACGTTAAATTATTGCTATCATTTTGAAATGCAAAATTCTCTTATTGGCCTTTAAGTACCTCATCAGCAGAGGCCTTCACCTCTTCCCAAGACACATGAATATCACTCTCCTCGCTGAAACGTGAGCAAATAGCTAACCTAAGGAAATACGTGTCATCAATTTTAGAAGGAACTAAATGAATCTTGCCTCTGCCGTTAATACGCCTGAGTAATTCTTCGTTCTTTTCGTTACTGTCATTCAGTCTAAAGCAAACCAGTCCCATGGTCACTTCTTCGTAAATTTCGAATCTTTCATCAGCGCTGCACAATTTCTCAAATAGATGAGCCAAAGCAATATGCTTTCTGATGTGCTTTTGAAGATTCTCTACGCCGTAAAGACGCAGAACGAACCACAGCTTAAGGGCTCTAAAACGACGGCCCAAAGGTATTTGCCAGTGACGGTAATCTGGGGCAGATCCTTGCATATCGTGTTTCAGGTACAGTGGGTCCACATTGAAGGCATCGATGATCCAACGTGGTTCTTTCAGCCACAAGGCGGAACAATCAAAGTTAACCAGTAACCATTTGTGTGGGTTGAAATTGAAGGAATCCGCCTTCTCAACACCCTTCATGAGGTAGCGATACTCAGGGCAGATGAATGCAGACCCAGCGTAAGCAGCGTCTACGTGCAACCAAACGCCATGTTCGTTACACACATCACCAATTTCGTCTAATGCATCAAATGCGCAGGATGATGTCGTGCCCAAGGTAGCTACGACCTGAAATCATAAAAGCAGATTGTTCTAATTACATTTTAGGTGTTAGATATTCTTATGAGAAATATTAGATGAGTAGTTTAAAAAAAATACTACTGCTACCCTGGAAAAGTATTTTGTTGCTAAAAGGGTTTTTTAAATAACATACATAGAATGGAATAAGTCCGTTGCGAGTATCTTCCTCAATAGCATCTCGGAGAGTGTCGCCGCGAAGCCTTCTCTTTCCATCAGGCTGGAGTGAACGAAGTTTTACTCCTCCCAAAAGTCCAGCACGTTCCACGGAAGAATGGGCTTGTTCTATAAAGAAAGAAATACACAATAATTATTTAGTGCGCAACCATGCAGCTAATAACAAAATTTTAAAGAAGAAGCTTTTTGCTAAGGTATTTTAATAAATATAGTTCACTTACTGTTGCAGTAACCGACGAGTTTCGAAAGGATCTCCGTGTCAGTCCATTCGGGGTGCTTTTCCTTAACACGTAAGATGGTACGGTTCTTGGCTCCAAGTAAAGCGACCAGCGTGGCCTCACTGGCGGTGCCTTGGATGACACCACCGGCCTCGCCACCAGATCGAGCCAGGAACGACTCAGGCAGTCCCAACATCTGGCCCAGCCAGTCAAGCATCACAACCTCCAATTCCGTACAAGCTGGACTCGCGATCTAAGAATCACAAAAGAAATAGATATTAAAATACCTGTCAACCAAAAAGAATATCTTTAACTATAAGTATTTATAAGACCTGAACACAATATGCATCTTGTAGATATATTTAAAAAATAGTTTGAACAGTCTTCCCAATTTCTTCCGCCTAGATAGGGATCTCTTTTTCAAAGAGTTTTGAATATTTTCTGAAATACATCGACTTTATAGTCATTTAGCTAATAACAACAATGGATTCGTATTATGGCCAATGTTCTTTGTAACTTTATGCTATAGGTTCGTGTTATAACCACAATACATATTCTGCAAAAAGTGCCCACGAATGTATAAAACAAGCGACCGGTTTTCCTTGTTCGAGTTACCTATGTGCCGTATGTGACATTGACACTGACTCCACTTCAGCGTATTGGTTATAATATATTCAGTTCACTATTTTATACCGGAACTGCTAAGTGCTATATTGTATATGTATATGGGTAATTACTTCTTATAGGTCATTAAATGATTCGTACTGTGAAATCTCTTTTTTTAATGCAATTTTGGGTGTGTTTGGAATAGAAAATTAAAGTCCTTGTGATGATTTTAAATTGTACATCAAGTAAATCAATACTTACACAACGTACGTAACTATTGGTCGTAGTAAGTTCGTCATTCAGGTTAAATGTATATACGATTATACGAAAATTCTTTAATTACTTACCCAAGTAAAACCAATGCAAGCGATAGCACCGCTGAGCATGTCAGCCACGATGGCAGGGTAGGAGTTTGCGGTGGGGAAGTAGGCGTGGAAGCGCGGCGAGTGCCAGTGGGTGACACCGGACATGACGACACGCTCTATGTCCGCCATTACTGCTGTCCAGGGCTCCGCCTTCTCGGGAGCCTGCTCCGGCACCAGGGGCCTCAAGTAGCCAGGCTTCACTGATGGTACTACTTGTCTGAGGAAACATAATTAGAAAATGTTAATATAGAAGTAAAGTGTGGGTTTCCTCTCTTAACCGAGAGTAGTCTTGGGATCTTTAAGTCAGCTCAATAGTTACGTAAGGGTTTGTGTGCTTTTTTTTTTAATGGGGGAAAATCATCGAATGACTGCTCCCACCTGGGTGAGGTGGAAGGGAGTGTCAGACTCTTACTGAATAAAAACCACCCCGTTCCTTCTCCTGCACGTCGAGCCGGAGCCCCGGTTACCCGTTAGGTTCTCCGCGACAGGGTTTGTGTGCTTGCACTACGAAAGAAGTTCATTTCTTGCATGGACTTCAAACTAACTGATGACGGTGTATCAAAGTAAGCTAACCAGGTACCTATTTAACCTATCCACGGTCAAACTTCGATCAGTCAACTTCCATTGGGACAGTATCATTGAGAACGCAGACAATTTCAAAGTTTAACCTGCAAACCCGTGTCATTAAGACCATGAACGCAGTCAGATTAAGTATTTAGTTAGTAATTAAAAGAATTATAAACATTAGCTAGCTATTTCCATTAATTATACCTATGGATATGAGCGTAGATATTATCAAACGTTTGTTGAATTATAAAATCAGAAGGTATTAAATTACCTGTCCCTGATGTTTTCCAAGTATTCAGCAATGTAATCGGTCATCGCCTTGGCGAAATCTTTGAAATCTCCGGCCTCCATGGTTTCTGAAAAAGTAAAAAAAAAACAAAATTAGAATTTGAGCTGACAACAAAAATTATAAACTGATCTAAATAACTTCGTTTACGGAGGCCGGTAATAGTGCTTGACTAAAACGAAATTTGGTAAATAAATAAGAATACGGACATAAGCATCAGCCAATACAAAATTTCTAGAAAGTAAATAATTGAAAAGCTCTAGGTAGCCGTTAAATAAATACTAAAAAACCCAAAATGATTGGAAAATATTTTTACAGAATTGATATTTAATCTAAGTACACATACTGAAGTGTTCGTCGTTAAGTAGCATTTAGATTATAATTATAAGTCTTCACATTCCGTAGTTAGCTAAGTCTACAATAAGTTGAACGCCATCAATATTATCTAATTACTATAAAGCGTAAACAATTACCGTAAAGATAACTTAAATTGTAAAGTAAATGAACAGTAAATAACAATATGCTAATAAAATTATAAAACAACAACAAGACACATCTAGGTTCAACATAGACTTCTATACACAAACCAAAATTTAGTTTAGTATCCTGATCCGACATTATGGCAGCTAGAAAGAGAAAATGAAATTATAATTATTTTAATCTTTTAAATAAAAACGGATAAAAGCATGTCATCTGACTGCCTCGATGGCCGAGTGGTCGCAAGTGCGACTGCCGGGCAAGGGGTCTTGGGTTCGATTCCCGGGTCGGGCAAAATATTACTGGGTTTTTAAAAAAAAAATCTCAGTAGTAGCACGGAGTCTGGAAATGTGCCCGGTATATGGCAATAGGCTCACCCCCTATTACATGGGACTCATAACATAAATAGTGAAAAGTGGGTGTTACTTCTGTGTGCACCTCTGCCTACCCCTTCGGGGATAAAAGGCGTGATGTTATGTTGTGTGATTTTTCGTGTCTTGAATTTCCTTGAAATTCTAAAGCCTTCATAGTACCTATGTGCACTGTGTAAGTAAATGAACAACTTCTAGGTAAATTCTTGTCACGTCTCGTCGTAGGCAGTTTCAACAGGTAGGTACTTGTGTAGGCAGATACATAACCTAGTGAGGCTACATAGGTGCATTAAAGCAATTTTACATAGGTTGATTAGATATAGATAGTATTGTTAGATTCGTGACTTGGTCTTGATACTTTTTGTGAAGTTATAGTCATACCGATCAACAATATTTATTATTATTCTTTTCTTTATTTTATTCACAAAGAATTATAGTTCCAGTACGAACATAAATAAATTAACTGTATCACATTAGTATACACAATTAATTTCATTACGTCATTAAAATTATTTTTAACAAATCTTGCGACCTGCAAATTATGACATTGACCGTATCAATACCACGTATGACATCAGAATAATTATGTCACATGTTCAATGTCAGTGTGAAATGCTACCAGTTGTTAAGTAAATAATGCGGAATTGGTGGTCCTTGTTCAATGCCGAGAGAGCGGCGCGGGCGCACCGTGCGCTTGCGCAAGGAATCGAGCGTGCGCCGGCGAGCAAGTGGTGCGAGGTTATGCATGGACCTCGTTGCTTCCACAGGCCACTGTTTACTTGCTTTATGTTTGCAATATTTGGCTAGAGTATTATTCAATTTTATTTTTCTGTCTATATATTTATGTACATTCGTCAAGTGGGTAGGTATAATTTAAAATAATGAGCAATCTCTCTAAAGGAAATAAGTACCCAGTAAATAGCGTCATGTTTTATTCCCACAATCGATTTGACCTTGTCAATTTATTTTATCCATTGATTTTATCCCATAAATCACAGAGTCTATTGCTGTTCTACGAAATAAATTATAGTAACTGAGTAACTACCGACTTATTACTAATTAAATGTAATTATACTAGATAACAGTCCTATTGCATGGCATGAACTTCATGATTAAATCCTGTTATTGTATCCGTAGGGACAGTGGTCGCAAATTAATGAGATTTTTGGTTATTAGAAGCAGCTGGTTTTTAGATTATTCCTGCAGTATGATTAAGAACAAAAACTCAATGTCTCATAATTTAATTTGATCTGCACCTCAGCCAATGATTTTCCGATGTTAATTTATGTGCCTAAGTTCAGATATGAGCATAATAAGTGATAAATAATTCTGTACTTTGTTTTGTAACCGTATGACACAGGCTGACCTATATTTATCTCTGGGAACAAGAATAGCTTCTCACAAATGCAACCCGGAAAGTATCTTATTAAGCGGACAGTAGTTGCTGTAATCAATTGTATCGATATTGTAAAATAGGAGATTTAACAAACATTTTGGACGTTCTTAGCTACTTTAAGTAAGGCATTGTTAGCTAAATGAATGAACATTAAAAAGTATAATTTAACTTGCAAAGAGTAATTCTAACGAAGGAAAGATATATAGCGTGCAGAAAGCCCTACCATTACCGCTTGAATAAATACGTCTGGTCAAAAAAATAGTGTGAGATAATTCACAAGGCTTGTCTTTTCTCCTGACTGGGGGATCCGACCATGTTTAATTCATCGAAACGTATCAGATTCACGGCATCGATCGCTAGGTTTAGGGCCAAGGCAACGCAACACTCACGCGATCACTGAAAAAGTTAGCGAACCGGGCTCTTCGCTCATTACCACCGACTCTGCAAAGGTCGTTTATTTTGTACGATAACTCTATTAGGTTCATCCATTACGTTCTATTACAGCTACCACTTATATTGGTCAGCTGCTGATATTACGGATGGATTGGAAGTAATCAACTCAAGCGATAAGGAACGACGTTAACGTTTAGATCCGGGTGTTATTAGTTTAAAAAATGTGTGTCTATTTAATCATTAATTTACTAATATTTGCAATTATTATTATGTAGATATATATATATATATTACCAATAAAATCAGTACCATTACCATTGGTCAAGTGTTTGAAACAAAATCGATAAAAATTGTCACGGTTTTATAAAAGAACCTTCTTGGGGAACCCCAATAAAATGAATGAGACATTTCTATGAAACCGATATCTGCGTTACTAATTCCACTATTCGTTTTATTTATTCATCATAATAATTATATTATTGACGTACTAAACCGGTTTCACGAGGTCAGTTCTGTGTGGACTTGTGGAGGTAGGTTTTTGAAATAAAATAACATTGTACTTAATATTAACGGAAGTGTTGTATACCTACTAACAGGATGTTGCGTTAAATACTCGAATTTAATTAATTATTTACACTTTAATTACTGGTATAAGTAGTAAAATACCTACTACTATTTGTATGATTTAGTTAGGTACCTAATATTTGTAAATTTATTTTGTCGAGTATTTTAATATTTTTATAATATAGGTAGTTACAGGCAGCTACTTATTAATCTAATTATGCACTTCATTTATGTACTGAAATCCGATAGAACTTTAATTATTGTAATGTAATAATAACTGACTGCCTCATTGGCCGAGTGGCAAGGGGTCTCGGGTTCGATTCCCGGATCGAGCAAAGTATCTACTACAGGGTTTTAAAAAAAAAAGAAATTTGTTTTTATTTATATATATAAACGCGACATACATATATATATATAAGTTAAGTTAACTGGTATACTTAAGTACGTCTAAGCATACATAATTCATCATTTTTTGTAGGTACACCAACACCAATGATACTTCGCCGTAAAATATCGAGTGATAAGTAGCAAGACAAGTCATTACCTGTGAAGTGAAGGTCACGTAATGGCGAATTGGAACAAAGGCCCATAAGTCGCCGTGTGCTTCAAATCACAATAACGTTACAGTGAACTCATTACTGCCTCTGACTGCCTCGTTGGCCGAGTGGTCGCAAGTGCGACTGCCGGGCAAGGGGTCTCGGGTTCGATTCCCGGGTCGGGCAAAGTATTACTGGGTTTTTTAAAAATTCTCAGTAGTAGCACGGAGTCTGGAATTGTGCCCGTTATATGGCAATAGGCTCACTCCCTATTACATGGGACTCATAACATAAATAGTGAAAAGTGGGGGTTACATTGTACAGTGGCATAATGTGCACCTCTGCCTAACACCTTCGGGGATAAAAGGCGTGATGTTATGTATGTTATGAACTCATTACCTTGTGTCCGCTACCATTTCGCTAGTGATATTGGAATTCGGAAAATAGTTACGCAAATATTATGTTATATGTTAATTATGTACATAAGACTGTTGGTCAACACTATAGACGCACGCGTACACTAATACGTTGAATAAATCTTAATTCAGGTCTTCAACTTTCCTCTAGTGACGTACGTACGTCTTATGAACGATGGATTCTGTGTTCAAGGAAAAACCCTGGTAGTGACGCGGTATGCCGGTTCGGACCCGTGCGGGTAATCCCACGTTTCGTGATCGTTGGCCTAACCTAACAGGTAACCAGAACTGCAAAACTTCTCTGTATTAATGTAATGAGTCAGATTTGTTGACAATAACATTTCCGAGTTCTACACAATCTACATTTATTAGGTACTATCTGTTGCCCGCGACTTCATCCGCGTAGAATATAAGTTTTAGGACATAACTTTATTCTTGTTTGGATTTTTAAAAATAAAAGTAGCCTTTGTTAGTAAAACAGCTACATGCGAAAATCGGTCCCGTCCCGTCAAAATCGGTCCAGCCATTTCAGAGATTATTAGCCAGTACAATCAGACAGACAGACAGACAAAATAAAATAATATTTTGATATATTATTATGTATCGTATTTATATGCATGTATTAAAAAGGGGTTATTTGTATATTACAAATGGACACTCCAATTTTCTTTATCTGTATAGATGTAAAAAACGTAGGTAAAAGAATTAACATAAATATCAAGTTAAGAGTTCGTATGAACCGGTTTTGATAAGAAAAGTAGGCATCAATTTCGTTCATGATCTTCCTCAACGCAACGTAGGTAGTAGTAGGTTTAGATCATAAACTTGGTTCTTTTTTTATTTATAACTTGTTTTGTTAAACACCAATTAATTTTAATGGAACGTCCAATCTCTCTGATATCGTGTCGAGCACGAAGTCGAAACCACTTCAGTTATTGGAGTGTCATGAATTGCCCCATAAATTGCACGGTATATGTCCGAAGTTCCGAGCGATTCCGAAGCAAATAAACAATGTGAAGCTGTTTAAGCATACCTATATTTGCATGTCATATGCGTATGAATGAAACAAAGTCTACCGGTACCTACTGATACACAAAAATGATCTTTCGGTTAATTTTGTGTTTCATTCTATTTTATCAATTGAGACTGTTTTTTCACTTGGAAGATTTAGGCAAATAATTGTGTGAAAAAATGTGCTTGTTTCAACGCACTTAACATTTCAAAGTTGTATAAAATTATGATTATTTTTTAATGTTTATGTATTTGATAGTCGTTTAACGGAAATTTTAACTGTTTTAAATGAACTCAAACGCAAAATTTGTGAATAAAGCCAATCCTTTAAAGAAATAATGAACAAACCTATATAAAAACTCAGTGTTCAAACTTCGCTATTAACTTATATGTTATTAAAACAGGTTCCTTATAGTTCAAACAGTAACGAACCCTTATGGACGTTGCCCTTTGA